GGTCTTGCCAAGTTGCCCAGGCGGGTCTCGAACTCGCGAGCTCAGGCAGTCCACTCACCTCAGCCTCCCAAAGTGCTGGGATTATAGGCTGAGCCACCGAGCCTGGCTAGGCCTGGGGTTTAAAAACCACATAGCTCTCATTTAGTCAATGACACAAAATAACTACAGTAGGCTACTTCCCAGAAAATCCAATCATGAATGAAATAAATCCATTTTTGCCTGAGATAAGTATTTGCAGGGGATAAAGGATATAAGATATAGCTGGCTGGGCGCGGTGGCTCAGCCTTTAATCCCAGCACTTTGGGATGCCGAGGCGAAAGGATTTCCTGAGCCTGGGGGTTCAAGACAAACCTGGGCAACTTGGTGAGACCTCGCCTCTACAATAAATCACAAAAACTAGCTGGGCACGGTGGCATGCATCTGTAGTTCCAGCTACTTGGAAGGCTGAAAACAGAAGGATTGCCTAAGCCCAGTAAGTCAAGGGTGCGGTGACCGTGAGCATGGCATTGCACTCCAGCCTGGGCTACAAGAGTGAGACTCCAACTCAAAAAAAAGAAAAAGATATAGCCCTCTATTAAGTTTAACACAGTAAGTCTCCTCTTAACTGTGAGGAATCTGTTCCAAGACCCCCAGTGGATGCCTGAAACCACAGATAGTACCAAACCCTATATGTACTTTTTCTCCAATATAATTACATTGTATAGGTTGAGTAGCATATACACTGTGAACACACAACAGAGGGATGATTTACATATTGGGTAGAATGAAGTGGGGCAGCAAGAGAGTCTATCATATTACTCAGAATGTTGTGCAATTTAAAACTGGTAAATTGTTCATTTCTGGAATTTTCCATTTAATATTTTTGGGCCATGGTTGATTATAGGTAACTGAAACCACAGAAAATAAAATCACAGATGACGGGAGCTACTGTAACCAGTAAGAAAAGTTTGTCATAAAAGGTTTTGTGGTTTTACTCTGCTGTATTGCTCTAATTGAGGTTCATTTCCTGTATCTGTGGAAGTGAAGGTATTAAAGTACAAATTTCTGCCAAAAAAAAAAAAAAAGACGTGGTGTAACCTTACATGCATATTGCT